AACCAGGAGGTATCTCAGTGTTGAATTTTCTATATTTTCCTGACATGATCATTTACTTTGGTCTGTGGATTTAGTTTGTTTCTTTTTTTAATGAAATATTTAATCATAGAGAAGAATATAGTTAACATCTATGTACCCATCACCCAGCTTGAAGAATAAAATATTACAAATACTATAGAAGTCCCCTGGGTACCCATCCTTGGTTGCAAACTCTTTCCTCACATAAGAGGTAATGTCAATCTTGAAATCTGTGTTTATCAGACCTGTGCATGTCACTCACTACCAATGAATGTATCCCTAAATATGTAGTATTATTTTGCAAGTTATTAAATTTTATATAAATGATATCAAACTATAGTTATTTTTATGCAGCTTGGGTTTTTTGATTTGCTTGGCTCAATTCTGAAAAAAGATTTATCCGTAATTATGCATAGAGGTCTAGTTCTTTGATTTTACTGCGGAATAGTGGGCCATTGCAGTAATGTACCACCATTTAGATTTGGTTCTTTATTTCAGGGAGGTTCTCCCCTTTTTGGAATACAATGCCCTATCTCCCATTACTTTGGTGATGCCTCTGATTCCAGCTGCCACTGGTGTGGCTAGTTCCACGTGTGCTTCCATTCGCTTATTGCTAACAGCATCTCATCCTGTCTGAAGCTTGCTGGTCCCAGCACATACTTAGCTCCCATGTGGTGAAATTACTTTGGATAGAGAATTCTGATAGACATTGTCTATGCTTCTTAAGAGTTGCATGGAAATTGAGCTCCATTACCTATAGCAATTACCTTGATGGCACAATCTTACATTAACTTTTTCCTCCTTCCCTCTCACTTAATCACTTCTGCTGGTGGGAATCATCTCCCAAATAAACTGCCTGCACACAAGTCATTTTCTCAGGCCCTGCTTTTGGGAGAACCAAGATATATATCTATGAATACTTTTTATTTTGTTGGAGAGGGGAGGGTTGTTGATTTATCTCTATAGCCTCTGATAGGTTACACCAAATTAGGAGACCTGCCAAATAAGGCTCCTCCATAGTGCTGCAGAATCTTATATATCTTTTCTTGGTTTTCACTTTTAAAGTTTGTGGCTTTGGGCTTTGTCTCTCTATCCTTAAGTATTTGCTGCTGGAGAACTAATCTACCTATCTTCCTTTCTGTCTGCTTGCTTGTTTGCCAGTCTTTATTTTTTTTGTATGTTAGGGACATCAGTTTTCCTAAGGTTAGCTATTATTATGACTATTCTCCTTTGTGTTTCTTATTAGTTTTATAATAAAAAAGTTTGAGCATCAATTTATTTCATTTTAAGACTCCCTTTTTAATCTCACTTTTTTTTTTAATCTTGTCTTTTAGTTCTTATTTACTGTACAAGTATTCACATTCTCAGAATGTTTCAAAACCTGAAGCATTTGTGAAGAATGTCTTTTGTATTCATTGGGTTATATTTTTCTTATGGACAGAGTTCTTTGATATCTTGTATGCCATTTTCTTTACATTCTGTCTTTCTTTCAGTCTGTCCCTCCTTTCTTCCTCTCTCTTTTTCTTTGAGCCTTTCAGTTTATTTACCTATTTGCGATGCCTATTCTTGACAGCCCTGCCCAGACTTCCTATTTGTTCATACATTGTTTGGATGACTTCACTCCCTGTGTCAGATTTGTTCTGGCTCATCTCAGTTTTGTGGTTGCAAAAATACAAACTCTATGGCCTCTCGCTCCTCTTTTGTCTCTCTCTCAAATAGGCTGTAGTGACCTGTACATATTATTCCTGAATTCTGAGTTGGCATATTAAATTTTTGCTAACTAGCCCTGATATTTTTCTATCTTCCTATAAAAGTTCCTCTTCTGATTCTAACTGCTCACACAACACCATATCAGTGTTTACTCCCTGTAATTGGGGAACGTATTGCATTTCCATTGGGAAGGTCCTTAGTGTGCTACTCTTGAATTTTTACTTCTGCTGGGAAGTGCTGCAATCCATTTTCTGTTTTATTCATTCTCTTCCATAGCTGTGCAGCATTTCAAGAGAAAAAATAATGGAATTCTTTCAATTTGTTTCTCTCCAGTTTGGGGGTATTAACATGAAGACCAAGTTAAGAACCTTGCGAAACAGGGCTGCTTCATTCTGCTTCAGAATCTGTTGTCTTTCCTTGGCCTTCAATTTGATGTTTATGACTTTGAACTGTGCCTATCCTATGTATTTGCTACTGGAGAACCAACCTACCTATGTTACTTTCTTTCCTTCCTTTCTTCTCTTTTTAATTTGATACTGCATGGCAGTCAGGAGATGGGAGATTATGTGAAGAAGCCTTTGTTCCACTACTTCATTCCAGAAATCTTTCACTTTGGGTCGCTGTGATTTTTGTTATTGTTTTTCTTTAATTGTGGGAAAATACACTTTATGTAAAGTTTCCCATCTTAACCATTTTTACAGTTCAGTGGCATTAAGTTAAATTGACATTATTGTGCACCCATCACCACCATCCATCTCCAGAACTCTTCATCTTGCAAAACTGAAGCTTTCTATCCATTAAATAACACTACCCATCCCCCCTTCTCTTTTGTTTTTGAGTTTATATCATATTAAGAATGTTTCTGTGAATTTTATGAAACTAACATTGAAGATGTTTTCTATTTTGGTATTCATATTTTCATATGAGTAAGATAACCTGGTGTTAGAGTTACTTTTATCCATGTCCTCACGAGTAAGATAACCTGGTTTGTTTCCTAAAACAAAATTTTAGGAAATTTTGTCTCTGACTTGTTAGATCTATTACTAGGTAAAGCATGCTGTGTACTTTCGCTTTGTGCCTTGGTTGCCAAGAAGCATAATAACTATCTTTAGCTTAGGTTTTCTGGTATAATTTTATACCTGCATTTTATTTTTATGTGTTTAAGTCTCTCAGAGCCTTTTTGGATCAAATGAAATATAGTAAATGAATGAAGTGTTTTTAAGTAGTTTTTAGTTTACATCAGAAAAAATTTTTTGTGTCATTCATTTGAATGTAAGCATCTTATTGCTACCTAAGTTCACAATTTGTCAGCTGAAATGCTTTAAGATTGGCCTACATCACTGAGTTTTATTTCAGCAGGATTAAGTTGGGTTTAAGATAGGCAGAAAATCTTAGTGGTCATGGTTAGGTTTGGGAGACCTTATGTCCAAAATTAACTAAAATCTTTTAAAGAGGGAAGGAAATAATATTTATTACATGCTTATTATGTAATATATTTTTCTTACTTAAACCTCAATGGAGCCCTAGTTTATTATTTAATAGGCTTATTATCCCCATATTTCAGATATGAAAACCTGAGTTCATTCATGTACAATGACTTTCTGAAGGTCTCATAGCTAGTAAAAGTGGAACTAGAATTTGGATCCTTTTTTTCTCTAAAAGAGGTTATAATAGAACCTTTAATAATATTGTATTTTTATTGGTAGAAACATTTCATAGTATAAACATAAACTGTTATAGCCTTTATTCTATAAATGCTTTGGAAATATTTATCCACTCTGGGAATATATCCTAAGGAAATAATCATTTTGTAGAGGATAAAGTAATTCACTTCCTAAAACCTAAAAATTAAAAAAGAAAGATTGTACCCTGAGATTTAAATTTTAAAAAGTCAACATATACTAGGCCAATACAGAAATGTACAAAGCATCTTAAAGATAAATGATAGCTCCAGGTCTGCAGTTTTGGGGCATTTTTAATGTTTATGGAATTCCACAAGTGACTTCTTTACTTTTCCTGTTTTCCCCGTTACTTCCTTTCCCTTCTTCTAGCTCTACAGCCATGGCTTGTGCGTGGATTAAGGAGGTGGGGAAGAAAAATGAAGACATTTTAAAATTTATTATGGCTGTGCTGCTATTTTACTATTTTGTTTTATGCATTTCTCATTGAAGGGAGATATATATATATATACACACACACACACACACACACACATACATGCCGTATATATATGGCGTAGGGATTGAGTGTAGGTCCTGGTTTTAGATAGCCTGTGTTTACATCCCAGTTTTTCCGCTTAGGCAAGTTACATAATTCTTTGTTCATCAGTTTCATCATTCATGGAACAAAGGCTATAATAGTACGATAGTCACGGGATTGCTGCAAGAAAAAATTGAAGCATATCAGACATACTTGTCATCTAAGAATCGTTAAATACATTGGGAATGTCTCTTCCGACAAACATTGAGTTTCTGATAATGGCAGTAGTTCACAACTTTGGCTATGTATTACAGTCACACAAGGAGCTCTACAAAAATATAAATGCCCCCATCCCTACTATTCTAATGGGTAAACCTTCAGTAGGGCCCAGGGATCAGATTTTCCCCATTATTTACTTGTTTGCTTATATATTTACTGAGTGCCTTAAGACTTTTGTCTGTTTTGTTCACTGCTGTATTCCCAACACCTAGAACAGTGTTTCGCACATAGTAGGCACTCAATAAATACTTTTTGGAAAAATATTTCAAAATGTTTTATTTATGAAAAAATAAATGAATTATCTTTGGCTGCTCAGTGGATCATTCCCTCTTTTTTATACAAAATTTTTTTGAACTTATTTTTAAATTGACAAAAAATTCATCCTTTTCTTTTTGGCGGCTGGCCAATACAGGGATCTGAACCCGTGATCTTGGATGTAACAGCTGTGCTCTAACCAGCCGAGCTAACTAGCCAGCCCCCAAAATTCATCCTTTTTGATGAACAGTTCTATTTTCTACTTTTTGGTCAAACCATGTTCTCGCTCTCAGTCCCTGGCAACCACACATCAATTATTTATTCTTACAGTTATGGGCTTTCCGGAAAGTCAAATGAATTCAGTCATACACTGTACGCCCCTTTGAATCTGACTTCTTTCACTTAACACAATGCTTTTAAGGCATGTTCATGTTTTTCAGTGCGTCAGTATTTTATTCTTTTCATTGCTAAGTAGAATTCCATTGAATCTAAAACAAGTGTATCTACTATTTTGACCAATTTTGCTTTTTGCTTTTTAGCTTTCCAAAGTGTTGGAACTTCCACCTGAAAACTTGATCAAGTCAATATCTGCAGTTCCAATTTCCAAAAAAGAGTTAAGTATAATATATGTAACAATCTAAAATGTTGCTGACTTTTATATACCAAAAAAATTGTTACTCTTCAATTTACAGTAGTCTTTGAAATTAAGCATATGATATGATTCATTATATTCAACCTTTTATTCCCGTTGAATAATATTCCCATTAAATAATTTAATTAAAATCTGTATTTTAGATACTCTGTTGTGGAAGATTATATTATTATTGTTATGTTAATTATTTTTTTATGCTAGTAACTTATTATGGGAAAGTCTGTGGGAATGAGGTTCAAATGTAATTCTGTAACAATTCTTTAGGTTTTTGAAGACATGTTAAAGACTGTACAACCATCTGATGGTAGAGTACTGTTGTACCATATTTATCTGCTAGTTTTTGTGTTGTTTTTGTTTTTCTCCTTTCCATTTGAGGACTATCAGTATAGAGAACTGTTGGTTAGAACTACATACAACTGATAGTTGCTTCCTTGGATGCCGGGAGATATCACTTTCTTTGTGTTTGGTCAACCTAATCAATACTTGTTTACCATTTGGGTAGAAAACTTCAATACTTGGATAAAATACCCTCTCAGTCAATTAATAATAAGAAATTAGCTACATAGCAGGCATTTAAGCCCTAAACTTTGGAAAGATGTAAAGATATAATTATCGGTCCCATCATGTCTTTGTGCTTTGTCACAGGACTTTAAGATAGAGTAGGATGAATATTCTTGTTCTCAGAATAGGACAAAGAAAGAAGTTGAAAAGGAAGAGAAAGGCTACATTTGGTCTTGTAGTGAAACACAGCATCTATAAGATGGCCTGCTGCAAGTTCCTTTACACTGAGTTTCAAGAACAGAGGCAACCTCTAAGGGCACCTTGTAATTATATGTAATTGGTAAATTTTTCCGAACTTATTACTTATTTCATATAATCTGTAAATGACATTCTACATAATACAGAGAATGTCTCAGTTTTTATTTTGTTTCAAAGGCCTCTAATAATAAGCTGAACTATCTTGGCCCATCTTTTGAGAAGAATTTCCTTTATTTGCCTCCACTTTAACAATTTGAAATACTAAGACTTTTGGTTTATAAAATACAAATATTGGGGAGGACCTCAAAAATTTTCTGGGCTACAAGTCTAAAATTTTGCATATTGTTTACTTAAAACAAAGGAAACCTCTATCATTTTGCCATAATAAGCTCAGGTATCCTCTATAGTACTAAAACCAAGCCTAAATATTCTATATTTCTAACTTTATTCTAGAATGCTATTAATTGCCAGGAGAATTAAGAAATATTATTTTTGTTAATGTGGCTTATCTAATGTGAATCAGTTTGCTCACTTCGACTAATTTTCTCAATTGTATTTTCAACTACGGTGGAATTCCTATATAATATTGATTGTAAGAGACAGAATTAACAACTTTATTATAGACCAGTAGCTCTCAAGTTTATGGACCTCTCACTAACCAACACTGTAACAGCCCCTCAGCAGTAGTGGGAAATAGCTATTGCTTTTTAAACTTATTTTTTTAATTATAAAAAATATGAAAGTGGATGGACAAGTTTAATGAACCATGTGTGCCCATCACTTACCATTGTTTTGTTTCACTTATACCCCTACCCACTCTCCTCCTCCACGTTAGATTATTTTGATATCTACTGCATTTGATAGCCTAGGTGTTACATCTTTTCAAAGGGGTTTTTTCAAATTAATTTATTTTTGTATCACAAAAACAAAATAGATAATCTCTTTAAGGAAATTCAGAAGAATAAGAAAGAAGTTCCCAATAGTCTTAACTACAGTAAGACAAAATGTTAGCAAGTTGGTGTATTTTTTTTTCTCTTTGAGTAAGTTTTTCAAAAACATAGCTATGAAACTACATACAAAAATGTAAAATTTTTGAACTCTTGTCTCGACATTATTCTTTTTTTGTAAATATCACTTTTTAACAGTGTAACAATCTAACATTCCTCTGTTGATGGGCATTTAGATTATTTTCAGTTCTGACTTTATACATAATTCACATGCAAGAATCACCTTTTTAAATAGACAAAGCAAAAGCGTGTAACAATCTAACATTCCTCTGTTGATGGGCATTTAGATTATTTTCAGTTCTGACTTTATGCATAATTCACATGCAAGAATCACCTTTTTAAATAGACAAAGCAAAAGCTTTTTTGTGGGTATGTAATTAAAAACAATGTAACAGTCTGTATTTATTTGTTTATTTATTGTGGTTGGGAATCTGAACCCATAACCTTAGTGTTATAAGGCTGTGCTCTAACCAACTTGAGTTAACTGGCCAGCCTAAACGATGTAACAATTTAACCCTCTGTTAATGGACATTTAGATTCTTTTCAGTTCTGATTCTGTACATAATTTATTTGCAAGAATCACCTATTTAGATAAAGCAAAAGTTCCTTGTGGGTGTGTAATTAAAAGCTCCCAAAAGGGAAAACCAGGAAATAGGTTAAGTCTGGTTGATCTCTCTCACCTCCCTGAAGCATTGCCTTCTCTCTTGGGCCTTTCTTACTGGCCAAGAACCCTTCACATAATTTCAGAATTCATGTTTTAAATATTCTTAGTTTAATAAGTTGGCATTGATCATTGTTAGTAGACTAAAGGGTGATTTATTTTCTTTGTTCTTCTGCCACTGAACTAATTGGAAATATTTCTGATTCCATTGAGATAATATAATTTTTAAAATTGAATTATATTAGCATATTATTCATTTCTAGAATAAAATTATAAATCCTACTATTTATAACTTTAAAAAAACTATCTACAGAAAATCACGTGACTTTTTTATGTTTCCTGGATGTTTGAGAGCCGTGCTATAGGTTTGTGGTCGTAGTAAACGTTTTATAAATTATCCTAGCTATGTATCAAAAAATCATAATTAAATCTGTGTTATATTCGAATTTGTATCATTTCAATTAATATTGTTATTAGGGCTGTTATTACTTACTTTTAATTTTACTTTATTTTCTTTGATTTTTAAAAATCTTTGTTTGTTGCTCCTGTCCTGTTTTGTGTTATTCCCATTTTATTAAACTAATTTCTTCAGCTTCCCAAGTATTTATTGGCACAAATACTTGACTGAACTATTAGAGTCCTTTGGTAAGAATAAATACATTCAAACCTTATATGAGTGTCCATAATTAAAGTTAATTTTTAGAAAATTGAATTGTCATGTACTCATTAGAGAATAGTCTTAGAAAAGAAACAGTAGTTTGCCAACCAAGTTCATATAGGATGTAGTACAGAAAAAATATTCCCCAGGGGTCATACTGGTACTATTTAACAGTTTTTTTTTTAATTTAACATCAGAACAAGGATTAATATTTATAATCGGAACTTGATTTCTTGACAACACTGAAGTAGGTACCATTATCATCACCATTTTACTGAGGTACAAGAGGTTAAGCAATATGCCCCAAATCACACAGACACTGACTGGTAGATGAACTTGGGTCTGCCATTAAAGCTCACATGTCTGTAGGTAAGTTTAGGTTATAAGTGTAATCCATGCTAGGCTGCTGGATGATGGATTGAGGCTTAGAAAAATTCTTAATGGTCATTATAGAGTAGGTTTTTTAATATGTTAACCAGAAGTCACAGGAATTTTTAGGCTTTTTCCTGAATTTCATGAGTTATCACTCATGGAGGTCACTTGAACCCCTCCAAAATATGTCCTTTTATGCCAATGACAAACGGACTAGACAGACAGTGGTTCAACTCACTTACTCTGCCTATAGACTCATTCTCTAGTTCCTTATTAAATATCAGAAGATGTTAGTGTGGGCAGTTATATAGATATTTGTATGTTGATTAAATTTTTTTTACACCTTGAACTATTTCAAACCTACAGAAAATTCATAGAGAATAATGTAATCAATGCTCTCATGTGGTCACTTTCTAAATTATCAAGTCCTAACTTTTTTCCAAATTTACTTCAAGTCTTTTTTACGGGGGAGGGAGACTCTTGATTTTTGTTTTTAGAAATAAAACATTACAGATATTGTTGAAGTCACTGATATATTCCATACTCTTTGATTACATTCTTTCCCCTTCTTTCTTAGAGATAACTGCTCTCCTGAAGCAAAGGTTATTTTCACTAATTGGTTGCTTTGTGTTTGTTTCTTTGTTTTTGCATTGTTTCATCACCAACCCAATGAAGAGAACAAATGGCAGTGTCTGTTTCTTTAATAAACTACTGAATGTTTAGAATAATATTTTTCTTTTTCCCATGTTGAAACTCAAATTACAACATTTTGAAAATATTTTTGCTTTGGTCATTTGGAGGTCAGTGGAGGGGCTTGAATTAGAAGCAAGCATCTGGAGTAATAGAGGAAGCACTGTAGAAGAGGTCAAAATACTTGGGATTTTTTTCTCAGTCTGCTTATTAGTCGCAGTAGGATTTTAGGAGAGAGATTTACCTTGCCCAGCATCAGCTTTCACGTCTAAAAAATAAGGTGGCTGCTCTACCTATTTCACAAAGATATTCATAAAGCTACAATTAGGTGATAGAAGAGGAAGAATTTTGTAAGATAATAAAAGATAAAAATTCTAAATAAATACAAAGTGATCTCTAATTTCCTTCCTTTTAATTTTGAAAGCATAGCACCTTCTGATAAAACTGTGTCTTTGTTGGGAACCTATAGTGATTAGTCTTTGTTACATTAGTTTTTGTTATACTATTTTTAAGTTAACAATAGCTCTTTCCCATTTCAATGTCTATTTTTAGAGAAGTAGCTGATTTTCAGCTTTCTGTGGATTCTTTATTGGAAAACAACAATGACCATTCACGACCAGATATTCAAGTTCAAGCCGAGAGATTGGCAGAGAAGGTAATTTAGCACTATTATTTTTTTTTTGAAATTATAATAAGCTTATTATTTTGAAGAAAAAAATGCTCTGCAGGCAATCTCAGCCATAATAATCAATTTAATAGTGTTGCTTTGTTCAAGGCACCTTGGAAAACATAATTTAAATTCATTTTAATCATGTACTATAAGGTTACAGTGATTTTTCAAATTAGTTATAAAGCATTCCTCTTGAGCTGACATTGTTCAATTTTTTGATTAACTACTTACAAGAGCACTGAAGTGTTAATTAAATTTACAGATTGAAGCTGGATGGACTTTTGAATTTAGGAAAACAAGCTTGATAAATTAGAGCACTGGGATGCAATTTTTAAAATGGTTTTCTGAGAAGATGAATATTAAAATATGAGAGGAAATTATTAGATATAAATAGAATTATGATTACAGAGAACTGGTGGTTAGATGAGTTAATAAACTGCTTTTATTTCTGAGTTCTCTTATGGGTTTAGTATCTAAAAGAGGAATTGAAAGGATTGTAGAGAATGACCAAATCTAAGTTGTAAGTGTGATACACTCAGAAAAAGCAAATGTTAGACAAGGCTTTCATTTTTTGTTTTAATGGTGTTATTACATGTAACACAGATGAGATGACTGGAAACTCGAGGAATTGGAACAATGAAAGTCACTATCATGGGGCCGACCCCGTGGCGCACTCAGGAGAATGCGGCGCTGGGAGCGCAGCAGTGCTCCGGCCGCAGGTTCGGATCCTATATAGGGATGGCTGGTGTGCTTACTGGCTGAGTGCGGTGTGGGCGACACCAAGCCAAGGGTTGCGATCCCCTTACTGGTCATTAAAAAAAAAAAAAAAAAAGAAAAAAAAAAGAAAGTCACTATCATGGAAAAAGACTTTTAGTTAGAAAATGAGTATGATAAAGGAGCTTTGGTAGCTGAGTAAATATTTATTTAATCACAAAATCACCCAGATTTTTATCAGGAAGTACACCAGGAGTAGAATTATTTTCATTACAATATTTAGTTCCTTTCTTTCATTTCTTGTAAGTTCTCAAAAATAAAGACTAGTGACTTTTTAGTGACAGAAATTATCTCTTCAAATTCCATAGATATATTGGGTTTTGAACATCTAGCAGGTTAAAAAGTGAAGGCATGTGCGTAGAAGGCAAACTATTTAAATTATTTACATCTTATGAGTTGGTACAAGTGCTTTAGTTTAGGCCCTGACAGAATGTCATGTTCTGTGGCTCTCATGAAAGGTGATACAAAGTGCTCATTGCATGTCAGAGTAAGTAGAGTTGAGTGTAGAGTGATGCCCTTTCTTCCCTGACAGATGGAGAACTCAAGGTGAGGAAAAGGGAAAGAGGAAGAGACAGACTTTGAATACAGAATAGCATCCTAGTCAGGAAAAAGAAAACGTGTTTACCTAAATAGAACGATGGAACTGAAGAATTTGGCTAAGGCCTGGGTCTACATATAGTGACTGTAAGAGATGACCCTCCTGCTGTGTATGTAAGCCAATTTTATAGAATTAGAACTTCATATCTTATTACACCTATTTTAAAACATACCTATTTTATGTGATTTATTTTCTTTTCAGCTAAAATGTGATACAGTGGTGAGCGAAATCAGCACTAGTCAAGGGACTGTAAATTTTAAAATAAACAGAGAACTGTTAACAAAGGTAAGAATGGCTTATATGGATCCTGCCATTGTGCTTTCACTCTCAGCTTTAGCCACATTGGTCTTCCTTCAGTTCTTAATCTCATTGTGCCTCCTCTTGCCTCAAAACTTCTGCCTGAAGTGCCACCCCAAGTTGACATTACTTATCCTTCAGGTCTGGATGTTTCCTAGACAGTGCCATTATGACCCTTTCATTTGTAGTCCTGAATAACTCTCCTTTGAAGAACCTATCATACTTGCTTTTTTATAGTCCTTTTATTTGATTAATGTCTCTTGCCCTTTAAACTCTAATTTCCATTAAGCCTTATAGCATCTATTTTTCTCACTATTGGATCTCCAGTTCTTAGCACAGTGCCTAGCATGTAGTAGGTGTTAGATAACTGTTTGTTGAATGAATAAACAAACACTGTACTGCATGCAAGAAAGGTATAGCTTAATGTCACAGTAAAGGTATATCCTAGAGCAGTGAGAACCCATAGGCTGAAAAAGGAGTATTAAATGTGCCCGTGCTGTACATTATAATTTTGATGATAATTTTTGTTTGCTGAAAGCCTAATTTCTTCTACATTTGGCTTCATTATTTTCAGGCCTTAGACATTGGTCATTTGCATATCTAATGAATTTTTTAGATCACATCAAGGAAAAAAATTCAACCCTTCTTAGTACCTGCCTTGGGTTAAATGTCCCCCCAAAACTTAATCCCCACTGTAACTGTCAAGGGTGGGAAATCCTATTATGGTAGTTGAAAGGTAGGGTCTTGAAGAGATGATTAGATTGTAGGATCATGCTATAATGAATGGATTAATAATGGTGGTCAGGCTCATGGTTCTAAGAGTTTTAAAAGAAGAGCACATGAGAGGTTAGTGTCTCTCTGCTCTGCTATTTCTGCCATGGGAGACCCCTGGGTCACTGTCACCACCACTGAAGTCCTTACCAGATGTGTTCCCTGGATATTGGACTTCCCACCCTCTGAAACTGTAAGCAATAAATTTCATTTTCTTTATAGGTCACCCAGTTCCAGGTATTTTGTTATGAGCAACAGAAATGGACTAATACAGAAAATTGGTATCAGGAGTGGGGTGTTGCTTGTAATAAATAATTGAAAATGTGGAAACAGCTTTGGAACTGGGTGTTGAGGAGAGGTTGGAAGAATTTGAAGGAACAGGCTAGAAAAAGCCTAGATGCTGGTGAAAGTTTAGAAGACCAGAAAACCAGAGAAAGTTTGGAATGTTTCAGAGACTGGTTAGATGGTGGTGACCAGAATGCTGATAGAAATATGGACAGTAAAGGCCATTATGAGAACATCTCAGATGAAAATGAAAAGGGACTTATTGGAAACTGGGGCAAAGATCACCCTTGCTATGAACTGGCAAGGAAATTGGCTGCATTGTGTCCATGTTCTAGGACTTTGAGGAAGTTGGAAATTAAAAGTTGTGAAACAGTGTTTGGCAAAAGAAATTTCTAAGCAGCAAAACATTCAGCAAGCTGCAAAGCTACTTGTAATGCCTGAGTTGAGTTATGGCATCAAAGGCATAATTCCTGGGTCCCAACTATCCACCTGGCATCCAGGGTGATAGGGAGCCCGAGACAGAGGCTACAAAGATAATGCCTAAAGGATGTTTTGTTCTCTCCCAGCATGGACAGGAGGCAGAGCTGAAACGGGGAGTGATGAGACCATATTTGGTATTGTCTTGCAGCTGTTGGTCTATGCGCTGTGGACATATATATCCCCAGGCCACACTATGGCCACCTGTCTAGACCCCAGAACTTAGAGACTTAAAACCAAAGACAAGCTAACAACAAGGTGTGTGTAATGCTTGGGGGAAACCCAGCAGCCAGTTCTCTCACAGCTTTTAGTTCATAAACAAATTAAGCAAATATCAAACATATCAGAAAAGCAAAAATTTTATGACCTTAAAACATCAGACAGTATAAATTTGTTTTGCCCAATAGACAAAGCTAGACAAAAATCTAGATTAAATTCTGAAAACACTTTTATTTTACCAACAATTTAAAAAATTATTTTCTTTTTTTTTTTAAAGAAAACATAATTTTACTAATGTTAATTTTTACATTCTAGGATGATGTTGCAGAGCAGTTGGGAGGGAAGGGGAGAAGGGAAATGGGAAGGAAATGGGATGGAAGAGGGAGGAAGGAGGAGGAGTGGGATTGAGGCCTGTGGCACCCCCCTCATTCCCACAGAGGATTCCAGGGTGGCTTGATCATTGCTGGGCTGTGTGCAGATGTCAGGGGTTGTAGCAAAAGCCCTTGCCCCCTACCATCCCAGCTCAGGAACCTGAGGCCCTTCTTGCTGCAGCCTGGTGGTCATCGCTGGGCTGGTTGCACATGTCAGAGGGGTGTGGGCGAGGTCCTCAGCCCCCCATCACCCCAGCTGGGAGAGCCTGGGGTGCGTCCTGCAGCGGCTCGGTGGTCACTGCTGGCTGGCTGCTGGTGGGGGGGGGGGGGGGTTGAGGCCCTTGGCCCCCTCCCTTGGGATTCGTTGCAGGTGTCAGAGAGCATTGCTGAGGCCCCCCGGCCCTCCCCCCTTTCTGGCTTGGTAGCCCAGGGAACTTCTGGTCCTTCTAGGTGTTATAGGTGTTCTTTGGTGAAATGAGACCTTTGCCACTAAATATGAAACTTTTTCTCTGGTTGCAGGTACTTTGTTTTTTCTTTTGGTTCTGTGTGGGATTATTTGTTATTCCCACCACTTAAACTCTGTGCTGGAACTAATTTGTTGTCCTTTGCTTTCTTCTAAATGCGGGAACTTCCTGTTGCGACCAGTACTTGAGCTGTGTGGTTGAGCTAAATTGCTGCTATGCTGCTGATTCCCTGGGGAAAGCTTTTTGTGCAGCTCAGGTTTTAATGGTTGACTGTATAGGTACTTCTGGCTCTTGAGAAATCCAGTGCACCTGTTGTGTAGAAACTCTGGTAAGGGCCTGAGTCTTTTCATCAAACTGCACCCCATGCAATTCTATATTCCTGACTGTTCTCCTCTGAGTGGTCCTTCACTGATTGGGGTGCAGATTAGCTGTCCTTGCTGTGCCCCAGTAATTTCCTGGTGGGCCCGTCTCCCCCACTGCCCATGCTGCAAATACTTCCCATGGGATGGGCCATGTGCCAGTCCCTTGTGATGACTCACTGGTCTCTGAGGGGCTCCTTTTTTTCAGTTGTTATGGCTCCTTGCTCCTATGTGGGTCCATGGGAACCCTATTGGTGGTCTTGTTGGCCTGGGTGCCATCAAGGCCCTCTTCTCCCCTGCTGCCTCCAAGGAACTTCATCCAAAGGGCACAGCTGCAGTTTTTACCAGCTCCTTCTCCATGTACTCAGCAGCTCCAGCCTGGAAACGGCCAGGGCTCGAAATGGTCAGAGCGGTTTTTTCTTTCTCTCATTGTGGCTTCCCCTGCCTTCATGCACTGTGTAGGTCTCTCCTCCTCTTCCCTCTGAGCTCTAGCAGCCACAGCTTGGCTGTCATTGCTTTTTTATAGTTGTAAATTGGCTGATTTGTGAGAGAGTGACGCTGGGGACCGTCTATTCTGCCATCTTGACTGGAAGTCTCAAAAATTATTTTCATTTATTAAAGTCACATGAACTTGAAATTTATCCAGGCTTATCCACTCAAGCATCCATTATTTATAAACCAATTTGTTACCTTGTAGACAGTATACTAACATATGTATAGACAAACATGTGGACACAACATACAGCTTACATATGTATACATGCATACATAGAAAACATGGAAACAAGTAAATATACAATAAAAAACTCACTAATTTAAAAAGGACAATTAAGTTCAAATCTTATCTGTAAGCCCTCACCATGTTTTAGAGAAAGCAGGGTAGCACACTTACATCTCAAAGCACAGAGAAAGAATGCAAGCCTTTTCAAGGAGTTTGAGTGCGTCAGAGGAGACAGAGAAAGATTAAAAAATAAATGTCAAGACAAAATAAAATCATAAAAATTTACCATAGGATTTCAGGAGATACACAGATGAGCCTACAAGAAAATTCAGAAGTCTGTTCAAAATAACCAGTTGAATGTCAGAAAATCCTATTTTGTAGACCATCTAGTTAGGTTGTTTTTAATATAGTTTTTGTTCCTTCACTGGGTTACTGAGCTGAATGCTGAGCCAGTAGTGCCAAAGCCATGCAACTCTTGGGATTCCGAGAGGAAGGCAGACCCAAAAGGAGGTCAGTTGGTGCGCCATTGCTGTGTTTCTCATGAGGCCTCAGAGTCTTTGGTGAAAATGCCGAGAGAAGCACAGAGAGTGTATTAGTCCATTTCCATTGCTTATAACAAAATACCTGGAACTGGGTAGTTTGTAAGAAAATGTAATTTATTGTTTACTATTTCAGAGGCTGGGAAGTCCAAAGTCCAGGGAACAAACCTGGTGAGGGTCTTATTTGGTGGTGGCTTTATAGCAATGCAGAAAATGGCAAAGCAGAGAGAGAGACTAATCTCCTCATTCGCTCTCTTTTTAAAGCCACCAGAACCACTCCCATTATTCTGAGAATGGAGCAATCCATTCATGAGGGTGCAGTCCTCACAATCCAATCACCTCCCCAAAGCTCCAACTTTCAACTACCAAAATAGGATTTCCCACTCTCTTACCGCTTTCACAGTGAGGACCAAGCCTCTAACGCAATAAACTGGGTGTATGTGTGTGGGGGGGGGGAGGGAATAATTCAATCAATATAGAGGGAGTGCATAGTTAATAGAGGTTTAAGAAGAAAGAGCATTCAATCGACTAAATAGTTCCTATGGAGAGAAGCTAAAATCCACAGAAATAGGTGACTAAAAGGAAATATAGTCAAACAAAACCAAAGAGATGCAAAGGAACCATCTCAGGAAATAGAGCCAGTCAGTGTGCTGGCTGCAAATGAGCCCATTCATTGAGCTCAGAGTTAAGTTAAACAGAACAAAAAGTTCCTAACACATCATAAACTAAAATTTCAAATCAAAAGCAAATATGACAAACAATTTAAAATTTTGTGATGGGTC